TGCCGCCGACAGGGCCAGCGCCCACCTCCGGGCTGGCCCGGGCGCCCGCGAGCACGACCCTCATGAGCATCGCTGAACCGATCCCTACCCCCACTGGCGCGACTGTGACTGCTGGCCGACGTACCCCCCCCATGGGTGGGGACTCCGGCCTGGCCCCTCGGGTTTCGCGTGGCCTGCCCCCACCTCGGAGGGGGGCCTAGCGGGGCTGAGATGCCACGGCCCAGTGTGGATGGGGATGGGGCATAGGTTCCCAAGAGGTCCGACGTCGTGGTTGTTTCCATACGCGGTCCCCGGAAGTCTCGACCCATTCCCCAGGACCGGTTTTTCATCCTGAGTCGTTGCTTGACGGTCCCGAGGCCCTGAGACGTGAGAGGGCCCCTAGGGGCCGAAATTTGCGAAAAACCTCGGTCTTGATTTTTGTCGATGCGTTGGATCTCTGGGTTACACGATGCTGACCTCAAGCGCTCCCCCTCGCAGGAGACATTAAACACGTGCTCCGACCCGTCCGGGAACGATTCGATCAGCTGCACCCCCTCCTCCGAGGACCGCCCGACGGCGAACACGGACCTGCTGTGGACGTGGTCCCCGGAGCCCTCCAGCCGCCACGAGCTCTCCCCGATGCTGATGGCGTCGCCGTGGAAGAAGCCCTCTGGACGAAGCCCAGGGGGGCACGAATACATCGGCACGAAGTCCAGGACTTCCCAGGAGGAGGAGGAGGAGGAGGAGGAGGAGGAGGAGGAGGCGGAGGAGGAGGAGGAGGAGGGGGAGGAGGAGGGAGGAGGGAGGAGGGAGGAGAAAGAGGAGGAGGAGGAGGAGGAGGAGGGAAACTTCCTCTTCCCCCCCACACTCCGACCCGTGTTTGCTTCCCCCTCCGGACCTTTGTCGTGTCCACCCACGTCCCCATCCAGGGCCTGGTCGGCCTCCTGCCGCGGCCTGCCTCCGCCGCCCTGGCGCCCGAGGTGATCGTGCCCTGCGGGAAGGCTGCCGACACGACCTCGGCGGACACGCAGAGCAGCCACGAGAGCGTGTGGTGCATGGCGAGCGTGGCCACCGTGGAAGGCTCCGACGGGCGCTGCCCGGCCATCGTGCTGAAGAGGCAGCCCGTGAACTCGAGCTTCGTGAGGTCGTGCCCGATCGAGTCCGCCACCGCGCTTGCAGAGCGGTTGGTGCGTGTGTGTGTGTGTGCGCATGCGCGCAGGGCACACATGCTCATGTATCGAGTTCGCTCTGCACGGAGCAGTAGCTCTAACCCCCTCCCCTGGACGCACCGAGCCCAACGATGCGCCCACTTGCCGATCAAGACCGCTCCGCCTTCAGCCTTCCGCGCAGATAATCTCAGCGCAACTGAAGGGGCCGTGGGACACACAAACAAATATACACACACACACACACACACACACACATAACAGGATTCCCCATATCTCCGATATTTTCTGGGTGTTTGCCTTCCCCCCCAATTCCCATATTATCCCCTATTTGCTGGGGA